TCTTAAAAGACGGAAGAAAATCCTTCACGTCAGTATTGGTCGATAAAGATTCAAAATGGCAGATTCAACAAATCTTGGAACGGCTGCCATTTTTTACTTGGTTGTCCAGTTGAGGTCCGGTTTGCGGAATTGTATTCTACTAACAGAGACCATTAATTTGATGTACCTACATGTCAATCTATGTTTACATTTAAGCATCTTTGCTTACCCCTCATGGACCGTCCTCCCCCATTGGAGGTGGAGAGTCAATGAACCCATAAAAAAGATATTCAGGTCTAACAAAGATGTGCAGAGTTTAAAAATTCTAACTTATACTGTTAAAAAAAAAGTAGGGGGAAGGGACTTTAAACTCACCCTGTAGACTTGCAGACCAGCCTACGAATCCTCACAGTAGTCCACTTGAAACCATATATATATATAGTATGTGGATGAAATAAATCCCTCAAGAAACCGAGACCTGCACCATTACAATACTCGTAATGGCTCCAAATTTGTCCTACCAGTTCACTGAACCACTCTCAGGGAGAAAAAAAACCTTCCTACGCCGGCTGCAAACTGAGGAACCATCTACCTGAATACCTGAGAGACCTAACTGGCAACAAGCCACACCAGGAGTTAAAAAGTGGCTTATAGCACGACCCTTCTACTCACTAAAGGAATTTTACAAACATTTTGTAAATTAAAATGTACTTAATTAACTCATGACAATTGTAATTCTTGATGAATGCACAATAAAGAATATTGTATTTTATTCTAGAATAAGAATCCTTTTTAGTCATTAGACACAGAAGTGTAATAGATATTGTCAAAGCTTAAAAAAAATAAAATAATAGGAGTTGTGGACATTACCACAGTCAATCTTATTTAGCATCCCAATAAAACTTACAGTAGATATAGACATAGACATATTTTATTTGCACATAACATTCTTTACATGTTTTGGTACACACAGAATAGGTGCACTGTCAGAGCTAAATTATCAGAATATAAAATAAACGGTATCAGCATTCTGACACATACTTTCTCCCATAAGTTTGTCAACAACCTTTATCATATTGTGTAAGCGGTGAGAGTAAATATACGGAAATGGTATTTGTAAAATTTTGTTCAGAATTTAAAGGACTAGGCTATAACATACTAAATTTTTATCAAAATCGTTCGGGCCATTTTTGGGAAAATCTGATTTTTCTGTTATTTTTTGGTGGTTTTATGGGAAAATGACATAATTTACAGTAACTTTTGAACCGTTATTTTTACAGAAATGGGATTTGTACAATTTTGTTTGGAATATAAAGGACTATAACATACTAAATTTTTATCAAAATCGTTTGGGCCATTTTTGGGAAAATCCTATTTTTTGTTATTTTATGGGGTTTTATGGGAAAATCCCCATTAAAAATAAAAATTTCAAAAATAAAAAACTATTAAAATTGTAAGGACCATAACATACAGTACTATGTTAAATCAAAACCGGATTTTTTTCTAAAATCCTATTTTTTGTTATTTTATGGGAAAATAACATATTTGACCATAACTTTTGAACAGTAATTTTTACAGAAATGGGATTTGTACCATTTTATTCAGAATTTAAAGGGCTACAACGTACTAAATTTTTATCAAAATCGTTCGGGCCATTTTTGAGAAAATTCAATTTTTCTGTTATTTTATGGGAAAATCCCCATTAAAAATTAAAATTTCAAAAAAATTAAAAAAAAAAAAAACGCCTGGAGATACCATGGATTAGAACCTACATACCAAATTTCATTTTTGTAGCCCGGGCATATACACTTCCACCGGTAATAATTTTTACCGCCGAGTTTATTATAAGTTTATTTATAAGTTATCTGAGTTTTTTCATTATTCGAGGTAGTCTCGGTCCCGTTTCGCTCGGATAATCGGACTTCTACTGTACTGAGCCACTAAAAAAAATCACGATTGCCGATCCGGACTACCGGGAGTCCGGACAAGGCCGATCCGGATGAGCGAGAGTCTACTGTAGCTTATAGTGGTAGTTTGGAAATAAAAACCAACTTCATCCAGTTAAATAGTGTGTGTACGAGCATTTTCTGAATCTGAAACCATGAAGAACTCATTCCGTTAAGCATGTGCCTGTGTGCGGGCTTGGCTTCCAGCGGCCACTATGGCCACCTCCGTTTAAATGCAAGTGCCATTCCTGGCGCCGAAAATCTGAATCGGCGAGCACTCTGGTACTACCTTTATTTTTCGTTTAAAATACATTGATATTTTTTCCCCCAACATGTGGTTTGGATTAATTGGAGATTCCGATTAGAGGGCCTCTGGTGTGAATAGAATTGCTGCTGAAATTGAATATTACTTCACTATGTTTCCTTTTTTGAATAAATTCCAGACTTATTAGCTTAAATCGTTGTTTAAAAACTTTTCATACCAGGATCAAAGCAACATCATGATTGTCCCCTGCTATTTCGGCAACGTATTATATAACAATTTCTCATGATCATTGCAACATGATGATCCCCTTTGATTGTGGCGACAGCTTGATTATTTTTACGATTGCAATAAATCTGCGAGATTTCTATTCTCAAAAAAATTCTCTAAATGATTTAAATCCCAGCAAAAAAAAAATTGGAACAGAAATGTCCTGAAAAATAGACTCACTAAAGTAAATCCCAGAAAAAAAAAAATTGGAACAGAAATGTCCTGAAGAATAGACGTCTATTATTTCCTCACTAGTAGTGTATCCACCAGACCCTTGTAAAGCCTCGTTCTCGCATGGTTCATCAACTTTCCTTGTGACCATGATCAGTGTCTTGTATTATTGATACATGTCATGAGAACAGCTGTGGTGCGTCAAGGCCCGATCCGCTCCCGCTCAAAATCGGTAAACTAATAAAACATTAGGACTGGTTCACCTGGGGTTCTGGTTCATTTATTCATTTATTCATGTAAATTGTCACAAATTACACCATATACAGAGGAGTTTCCTCAATGGTAGATGACATGTCAAAAATATGATACAAAAATGTTAAAAACTAAATTAATGTAACTTAAACATAATGAGAAAACAAACTCTCCACATGAACCATTTTACAAACCACTATTACTATATAAAATGAAATCCTCTACTGAATAAAACATATGGCTCTTTAGATAGTTAACAAGTTTTCTTTTAAATGCTTTGGCAGAAGATTCATTGCGTATATGAGAAGAAATCTCACCAGTCTTTAAGCCGAGTGCTGAGAGTGTATTTGATAAGTTGTGTTTTTGAGTGTTTTTAATGTGTACTAGGTGAACCCGTGCGAATTCGCACGAATAATAAATTAGGATATTATAGCAACGTCGTTAGAAGTTGCGTCGTTGTATCGACGTTGGTCTTGAGCTCGATCGTTGGCTATATGCATTCCAAGTTCTTTTTGCTGTTCAGTAGGAGTATTTTGCACGACAGAGCTCATCATGCTGAAAACTTGCGCGTATGGATCAATATCAACCAAATGTTGTGTCAAAATGTGCATGAGTTCAGTGCTGCAAGAGCCATTAGCTTTGTTTAGAATTCTTTCTTGAACAGCGGTTTCGACGTCGTAGATATAAATTTGGGCATATGTGGGATGCTCCCCTTCTGACAGTTGAAAGGTGCCAATTGAGTGATAAATTGTGTCGTGCACCTTATACATGAAAGGCCCTCCACCGTTATGTTCTTTAATTTTAGCTCGAGTATGTTCTTTAATTTTAGCTCGAGTGGTGACCATTGCGAGCGCAGAGTTGTATGATCTAATGTTCTCTTTGTAGTTTCTGCTCAAATGATTTGCTCCATTAAGTAGGCTCTGGATATAATAGCTTTCTTGGTATGGTGGTAGATTCACTTTTCCTTTATCGCAGCAGGATGAAAATCCTTCGCCTCGTCCTCTTTGTTCTTCTTTAAAATGTAACGCACCACATTTCTGACATTTTTATGCCATCTCGCCAAGTGAATGCAGCTGAATTCTCGTATTTGTCAGTGTAATTTTGTAAGTACACGTTGCCACTAACTGTTCCAGCTCCTCGTCTGGGTCCTTACGTTTTGCATTGCTTGCGTATGTTGACTCACCGTGTCCGACCGGCAATATTTCTTTGTCGTCGGGTCCTTGGCATGTTTAAACGAAAATAAAATGTAAAACTTTTCTCCCGTCGTGTCCTATAGGTAACATTCCTTTGCCGTGTTTCTAATTATTAAAAAAAAAAACATGCAAACTGTTTACATTTCAAAACCAAACAAAACAGCTGGGATTTTTTAAACTTATAGGCTATATTGACATCTGTTTCAGAATATAATAACATTCAAATCAATCACAATGTTATCCTTATGGAAGGAACTTTGAGGGCAGCCCACGCCCTTAAAAAGATATATTTCGAAAATCTAATGCCAGTTTGCACATCTATACATCTAGACGAACATTTTGGTATATAATATGTGGGGTTAAATATTAAAACAAAAAAGCCTTATTGTTCACAAAGTTTCATGTCGCGTATTAAATATATAGATAAGAATAAAATGGGGTGGAATAATAAAGTTGAAAAGGAGTTTATGGATGTGATGGAGTATATGGAGTTTTTAATATAAATCGGACAGGAAGCTATAATTTGTAATCCACAACACAAAGATCATAAAGACAGGATCAAAGTGTACGATGCGTGGAAACAAATTCAATTGGGTTTCAGCATTGAAACTTCCCTTGTAGTACGTGTATCATAATCTGTGTTGCTTTTGCACTTACATTACTAACAATAAAAATGCCTCAATGGCTCAACTTTTTTCTCCAAACTTGTCAGTGGCTTTTGAAATCTATAAGCCAACACACATCGTGAGAACAGTAAGGTTTGTGAATTCTCTGACGACTCAAAATCCGTTGACTGATCAAGGTTAGCGGACTCCACCTGCCTAAAGTTGAGAGAACGAGGGTTTAGATAGGTGGCTAACCCCTCAAGCTTAGAGTTTAGCTTAGAGTGTATGAAAGAGTTAAATCCAGTTCTATCATTGGACATACCTAGCACTCTGATAAGTTGCCGAGGGTGTTGATCCAATGGCAGCGTTTCCCACTCCCACGGCAAGACCCTCGGGTATGTTGTGGACTGTGATGGCTACAATGAGCAGCAACAGTCTCTTCCACTGTGTGCGGGGGTCTGTGGTGGGGGCTGTACATGGTGGGGGTGACGCAGGAGCTGTGTACTGGGCCCTGCGTCGGGTCCCAGAGAACGGGTCCTCATAGAAACCTGCAGAAAGGTATTGTATTATTGCTTTCTAGTACACAACATTCTTTGAATGAACAAATAACTGATTTTTACTGTTAAAGTACATTATTCCCTTAACTAAAGTAAGTTATAACTTTCAAATAAGTTATTCGACTTGAGAATAACACTTTTAAAAACCATTTAATGGGTAAAAAAACAGGTGCATAAAACATAAACTGACTCTAAACCTTTAATATAAATGATTCAATCCTGTATGGTGTTCTTTTTACAATTATAAGACACTGAAATATAAAATATTTTATGATCATAAAAGATTAGAGCTCACCAAAAGAAAACCACCTTAAAACATCTAACAGTAATTATTGTTTCTTGCCCATGCTAAACCTAAATATGAAAATTCTGCTGATATCTAACTATTTCAAATAGGCCCAGTTTTTCTGTTACTAAAACAAGATTTACCCTCCACTGTTGTTGTGTCTATTGGTCTCTCATCATCATTGGGGTATGACTGATAACCATCCATCTTCTTGTTGTATCCATTGGTTCCGTAAGCTGTAACATAGCAAAAATGTGTAAGCCTTATTCATTTTCTTTGCCTCCAGAATTGCTGGATTAGTAAACAAGCATGTGTACTGTCTGAAAGCAATTTACAGAAGTTAGGAATGTAACAGAGAGGGAATGGAGTAGGGTTCAGGCAGGGAAAATGAAGTTTGTAAGATGTATTAAATGGAAAACAAGATTGGATGTAAACGAAGAGTTGAGAAGAGGAATAGTTGAAGAAAGTTTGAGAGAACGAGTAGAGAAATCGATATTGAGATGGTTTGGCCACTTAAGAATGGAAAATTATAGAATCCCCAGAAAATAGAGCGAGCTTCACATGAACAGAAGAGGACCAAGAGAAAGACCTACAAGAAGGTGGATTGACAAGGTGTGGAAGTAAGAGGAGTGCAATGGCAGTATGTGGAGAAAGAGGAATTGTAGAGGGACATAAGAAGATGGAGAGACCTAGTGAATAACCAGACCCGGAGATAACCAGAACGGGAGAGGATATCTATGTATGTACTACTACTATCAGTCCAAGCAACTCCTTTATCGGTACATTGACAGTGTATACATTTTGCGTTGTATAAACCCATCATCAGGTCTACAGAAACATCCTCTTTGCACATTCGACATTTTTGAATAAACCACACATACATAAAAAGTTATATTATAAAATTGAACTTTTTAAAACACGTGTAAACTTTATGTTACTAAGCTGGCTAGCGATAATACTCCTAAAATTTACATGGTTTTTACAAAAGTTTGATTTTAAATTAAAAGTTTTTTTTGTATGTGTGGTCTATTCAAAAATGGTGAATCTGCAAAAAGTTTCATGTTTCTGTAGACCTGAGATGATGGTGGGTTTATGCAACCTGAAATGTATACATTGTCAATGCATCAGAAAAGGAATTGCTCGGGACTGAATAAGGTACGTAACCTTGATTACTCATAAACCTTAAGTTAATAATATAACAATAAGCCTGCACCACCCTCTGAAAATTTTATGTGAATCCCTCATGAATCTACAAAAACACTAATGTTAAACAAATTAGAATTAACACAATAGCTGCATGAAGAATATTTCTCGCCCAATTTGATTACAGTGTCACAACTCAAAGAGACTGTCAACCTACCTACTTGAAGGAGTTGACAAACTAGCAATAAGAAAGGGTATTTTTGTCTCCCAACTAATTTTTTTTTTACTTCTTTACCCTTGTGAGATTAGAAAAAAATTTCCACTATTCAAATCAGCTTAAAAGTGGTTAATTTTATTAGTACACATACCAGATGCAGTATATTATGTTATCGCCCATGTTATTAGTTGAGGGCTATTCAGAAAGTAAGGAACATTTCCGTCTGGCGTCTAAATGCACAAGCTGGTCGCACACTTTCTAGAACAGGCATGTTTACCTCTTCAATGAATTTCATGCCGTAACAGCGGAAGTATCATTGATCTGCCTGTTGTTGCAATATTTAAGTTTAAAATAAGTGCTGCAAGTGAAAATCCCCCCCCCCCCCCACCCCAGTATGGATTAAGTTCTTTGTTGACAATTGACTTAAAACCTACAGAAATTAATTAAAAAGGGTGTGAAGCGTACTGACAGTGTAGTAAATAGAGATAAAGTTCTGCCCGAAATGGTGCATTCAGTTTCTAAATGGCCGAACCTAAGTTAAGTTGGATGTTCCAAATATTTTTTTGCATGACAATGCCCGACCTCACATAGCACAACGATCTCCTTTAATCATTCAAATGGGAGATTTTCCTTATCCACCCACCCTACAGTCCAGACCTTTGAATACTTGGTTAGCAGAAACCTCTGTGCTAAGGTTATTTTTTATTCCGGGTGAGGGTCTAATGTAAACTATCCTCTATAATACTTTTAATACTATTTCTTTGAAATGGTGACCATACAAGGTAGGTATTTTAAGCCAAGTATGAATGGAGATGAGTGTAGGATGAGTGGCGCGATCTTGTAGTCTTGTTACTAAGGCCAACATATTCCTCAGACACAGCTGTTAATTAATAGCCCATACAGCTAATGGCAACTAAGGGACCTACAGTTTATAATGGAATCTGAACCACATTTTTGCCTTGGTATTAACGAATTGGTCTAATTATCAGGATAGCACTGCGCATAGTTGTAGTGCTCACTAGTCCGGACGTTAATCCACATCAGGGAGTATTGCATCCACAGTTACAGTACATGCCTATAAAAATTCACAATTCGTGACCTCCCAGTAGCTGGATTACAAGACGACGCCACTAGGCCTATATATTGAACCTGTTAGATTAAAAATAATGCAATCAATCCCATTTATGAAATGAAACGGAATCCTTTTATTTTTAAGGATGCATGAACTAGTAGGACACGACAGAAACAATCACGATAGTAAAATGTTTCCAAAATCAAATGTTTTCATTTAGTGAACAGATTATTTTCACTGATGATTTCTAAGTGTTTGTTATCTCATGTTAATGTGTAGAAGTTGTGATAACTAGTGTAGTATTACTATCACATTATTATAGGCCTACATTAGCAAAGATAATGTTTGTTTGAAAACAAAAATATCTTTAGGCCCTACCTTGTAAATATATTACCTTGTTAAGAACATTGTTTTGTAAATTTGTTTTTATTTATTTTCTGAGTGACAAGAAATAGAAAATTGTATTATTTTACTTGCTTTGTTTTTGCAGAATTATTGTTTTTGTTTTTTTCCAGTATACTTTGTGACAATGTGTGGCATCTTCAGGGAGATTGTGGCACAATCAGTGTAAATAGTATAATGAAAAAAGAACATTCGACAATCTTCCTAAAGATGCCACACAACGTGGCAAAATATATTGAAAAAAAACAAGAATCCTGCAAGAACAAAGGCTACAAAAAAAACAAAGTAAATATTTCAACCTTGTGTTAATCCTATGATAAATCAATGCCAGAACACTATCTATTCTGTATTGACTTAAGGCAAATTTCTTTTCAATATTTCATTTGTTAAGTTTAAGTTTGTATTAAATGGTGACAGTCTTCATTTTTTCAATGTATTAGCCCTCATTGTTTTTTTATACCATACTAGCTGTACCCGCGGGTTTTGCCCCGTTTAACTTCATAAGTGAGCTTGTTCGCATGGCTCAATCACGTCCTAAATAAGGTACTAAATTTATAAAAACAACAGGGATATTTTTCCTCTAAAAGGAGAAATAGACCATAATAAGTCACAGCGTTTCATCTTAAAAACTAGTAGTAAGTTATAGAATAAAAATAAATATAAAGGCATTTACTTGTTTCTCAATGATTCAATTATCAAAGACAGCAATTCGAACAATAATTGAGGTCAGTCAGTAGTGTCTAGTAACAGCTGACTGGCTCTAGACACCTTGCAATATAATTGAGGTTGCATCATAGGCCACGCTCTGGGTTATGTCAAGTGTGCACTATGAGAAAAGTAGACATTTTGACTATTGATTCCACGAATAAGACATAAGGCATAAGACATTTATTCATCATTTTTACATGTGTAATGCATAGACAGGTCAAATTGTTGGTAAATACATCTCGTATTCAGTCTTGGGTAAATAAATGTATAAATATATATATAACAAGGAATTCAGTTAATACAGGCAATATAATACAAGAGTTAAAATTGAAATTGAGCAACGAGCAAATAAATACAAAAGTTACAGACCATGGCGTGGCGAGAGATTTAAAATTTGACAGTAATAAATTAATACTGAATTAATGAATTGAAACCCCTTTTCTCATCCCTAGTGTTGTTAACAAATCAGGTGGAAGTTCAAGTTAATGAAAATAGGAAAAAAAAACAAACTTATATTCATAACAGGAGGAATCTTGTGTATTGCATGCTGGTAAATGCTGAATGACAATTACGATTATTGATTAGACAATGTATCAAGAAATGAATAAGTTGATTAGGGAACATCTGTGTGTATTGTTGACATTAGTACACAGCCATGTGTTCTGACTCATGTGTGCTCGCAAATAAATCAACTTTCAGAACGAACTATACATTCAACTTCTCAGATTTCATTATCATATCATGTTATGCCTAGGACTTAAGCTAAAAAATTATAATTTACTACGTAATCATATTAAACAACCATACGCCTATATCCCTAATTTGAAAATGGGTAGGCTTACTTAATGAAAAACAAAATAATTATAAAATATTAAATTCATATTTTAGATACAAAGTATTTTGTTACCTTACAATATACTTGTATCTAGCTAAACTTTATGTTTCCTGAGGAATGCCACATCCTCAGGTTTATCCTCTTCCATGATTCGTCATAAAATTCAAAATTGGATACAAAACACACATTGAGAAAGAGACGTAAAAAAAAGACTATAACTTGTACACGCACCACGACATTGATAAAATCAATGTTCAGTCTTTTCATAAAAAAATGTGTCTATGTCAACGTATTTGGGTCAAATTGTAAATTTTATGAAAAATGGTAAAATAGGATGAACCTGAAGGTGTGGCAGTCGCCACGAAACATTTAGTTTAGCCAGACATTGAAGAGTATTGTTAAACAATCAAAGGTTATGGAAAAAATGAAAAAAAAAACTTATGGATGAAAAGTAAATTGTAGTTTTATATTTTGATCAAACTTGGCAAATCCATTAATTTTAAACTATGGTAATAATGAAAGTGGATCTACAATACAAAGAACTTTACCACGATGAAGCCCTTTTTCTATGACAGGAGATGGCACATTAGTGACATACGTCTTTTGCTTTTTTGCATATACTCGATAAAAATGTTATAAATCAACACAACATTTCTTTAGGTAATGTAGTGAGTTACAAGGATGCCAAAAATTATAATATAACTCAATTTTGCTAAAAATGGCACTTAAGTCCCTATACATTGAGACTCGATAGCTAAGCTAACGTACCAAGCATTACGCCAGCAGACTGTAGGCCATAAGCTGTTATCAACACATCACTCGCATAAACAAACAGACTGCCCAGGAAGAAACCGATGGCGGCAGGCAGGAAGGCAAAATCTCCGTATTGTTTAGAGTCCTCAGCCATCTCTATCGCAGGGGCTAACAACGACCAGTACGATGCGGCCATCATGACACCTCCAGCAAACCCTAAACTGGCGTCTAGAAGCACTCTCTGAAACAGGCAGAATGTATGTTTAAGGAGTTGAATTCTAAGCAAACCCTAGTGCAAACCTCAGTTTGGTTCCATGCTAATGTTTAGTCTCTTGACACAAAAACACATCTGAATAAGAACTGTTTGAAAAAGGTCTACTTAGCCTCTTTTTTAAGGTGTTAAAAATCTCAAGACTCTGGGGGTGGAGCTGCAGAAATCAATTATGTCTTGCTGATACAAAAGAGAGCAGTAAGAATACTAGCCAATGCTAATATTAATGCTCCTTGCATTATCTCTCTTTGTAAATGCGGGAATCGTGACGGTATGTAGTCTGTCCATGGTTTCTTATTAGCTCTGCATATAAAAAAATATTTTTTCAGCCACGTTGTGACGGTGCAATTTCGTCCTGGGACAAAATTTTACTGTCGGCCTCGGATAGCTAATCTAGGCTAATTGAGTGTCTCCAGGGTTAGTGGTAATAATAATAGTATTTGGTTTTTTAAAATATGGGCTCACATATGGTCGTTAAAGTAAATGACTCATTCATCAGAATAAAGATAGCCTATAAGTTAGGCCTAATTGATTTAAGTTTTATTCATGAAATCACAGAAAACGTACTACTATAACCCAGAATGCCAACCGCATGGTAAAAAGCATTAAGCGTTTTGAGAGAGCTTTGCCTGTCAATACGTAGGCAGCGCCACCAGCGTTGCCATGCAATAGCATAGCAATGCTGGTGGCGCTGCCTACGGATTGACAGGCAAAGCTCTCTCAAAACACTCAATGCTTTTTACCATGCGGTTGGCATTCTGGGTTATAGTAGTACGTTTTCTGTGATGAAATGCATAAAAAACGGGAAAAGTTAGGTCTAAAAATACAAAATGATTAACGTCTTTGTAAATTTAGGCTATTAAATTACATAATATATTAAGTTATTATAACATGTCATTTGATTTACTATAAGATAGCGAATTTCCCTATATAGGGAAAGCTATTACTGTATGTCGCACGGTAAGACCTAGGCCATTTTGATGTCTCCAGAGGCCAAAAACACCATTCGTTCAAATTTTTATATATGTATAAGTAGGCCTATATATATGTGTCCGTGAACGCGATAACTTGAGTACGGTAGCCTAATTTTTGTCCGATTTTAATGAAATTTGGTTTAGCCTAAAGGAGTAAGGCGGGGTAAACTTAAAGGAGTTCGCGAACCAGCATGATAGGACCATGGAAAAGGGCATTTTACTTTTTTTAAGGGGGGGGGGGTTTATTTTGAAAATATTGGGTTTTCTCATTTATGACCCTCAAAACATTAGTAAGTTATCTAATTTCTCCATATAAACCTTATTAAAAAGCTTGAAAAACTAAGTAGACCTAAGTTAATTATTTAGTAAGTTTTATATCAAAGTGTTTTTAAGTACGGTTAAGGGATTGGTAACGGAGAAAATAAAAATAAAATGTAAATTTAAAATTCCCATGTTAACTTAAGTTAGGTACTTATTCTTATAGAGAATATTGTGGGTAAACTTCCGTATCTGTTGTAAAAAACAACCGAAGGAAAATATCGATTTAAGTTATCGATTGTTTCATTTGATATATTGTTTGGTTAAGTTAGTTAGTTTAACTTAACCTAACCAACCGAACAATAAATTGAATAATCAATATTATCGATCGATATTTTCATTCGGTTGGTTTGACAACAGATACGGAAGTCTACCCAATATTGTAAAATGTTGTAGTTTGCTTGGTAATGGAAATAAGTTATGTTGATCAAACTTGGCAATTTATTTTATTTTATACCAAGCTAGGCCATTAATATTTTACAAAAAACACACTTTATTAGTTTTCTTGTAGCAGCAAACCTTGGTACGGTACTAGTTAAAACCAAATGTTGTTTAAAGAGATTTAATTGCAAATCTATTCAGACAAATGGAAATTCGCTTACCTTAGTCTGCAGGTTTGCTAATTTTGCTGCAATGGGGGTGTTTAAAAATGTTAACTTGTTTGTTATTATCATACTGAACTAAACTAAGTTAACTTAACCAAACCACCACAGCACATCAGATCATCAGATTTTGTACTGATGCGAAATAAAAGAAGTCGAAGAGCAAATCAAGAAAACTCTAAGCCTAGGCCTAGAACTAACCATAAACCAATAATTGGGACTGGAAAAGTCGATGGATCCGACTTGGAGGCTGTGGCTAAAACTAAATGAATATTTATATCCAGGCTCGAGAAAAATACAAAGAAACAGTCAGTGGAGGAATATGTGATGAAGATGTGTAGTGGAAAAAACGTCATCTGTGAGGAAATTCCCACAAGGTACCCAACCTACAAATCCTTCAAGGTAGGTTTTCCATTACAGTTCTCTAATATAGTTATGGACTGCGAGAAATGGCCTGAAGGCATTTTAATTAATAATTTCATAGTCTCTAACAGACATGGGAACAACAAAACCAGGCCTAGGCCTACACTTGAAAATGGGTTGCCTGAAAAAAAACGTGTAGTAGACTCTGATGGATATAGGGAAGCAGAGTTGAATAAAGATAACCCTAAAAGATTAAAGATTATGTTTTTTAATGGAAGATCTATTTTTAATAAAATTGAATTATTAGAATCTCTCTTGTCACAAGATAACTGTGAAATTATTTGTGTAGCTGAGACTTGGTTAAATAATGTGAAGAAAACCTGCTTTAAAATTGGGGACTATTCTATGATAGTAGATTACAGTAGAGAATTGAAATCTGGAGGTGGTGTTGCCATTTTTACTCTAAATAATAACACAAACAAAGTAATTCCAATCAATAAACTGAAGGACAGAGGTCCTTCAGTTTATTGATTTTCACTGATTCACTGAGAGCAGTAGAAGAGATTTTTGAGTGCTGTGGAGCAATCGTTAATTGTTGTAAATATAAATTTGTACTTGTAAATATCTATAGACCGCCATGTGAGGCGAATTTTTATCAATTTATTGAACTCCTTGAAGATACCATAACGTACCTAAAACGAACATATTGTGACTTACCTCTGGTGGTCTGTGGGGACCTAAATGTTGATTATTTGACAAGTAGCCTACACAGAGACTACTTAAATGATGTTTTGCAGTCAAACGATCTCCATGTTAAGTTTACATTCAATCAATACACTAGGATCGACCCTAATTCAAATCGACACAGCCAACTCGACTACTTTATGACTGATATTCAGAGATGCTCTTATTCCATAGATGTTTTACCACCACTTCTCTCAGACCATAGCATAATTGTTTTTAAATTGGATTCAAGAAATTTCAATGTTGTAAAGAAAATTGAGAAGAGGAAAATTACCAAACCCAACCTAAACACATTTGAATTTTTAATGAAAAAACAAAGTTGGATCATTGATGAGTCAACCAGTGATGTAGATAATATTTTTAATACTTTTTATTCCTCCTTTTTATATGTTTTTGACGTGTGCTTTCCCAAGGCCATATATATGTGTAAGGACGACTCACATGTTAGATGGATAAACCAAGAAATAATAGAATCCCAAGAAAACTTGAAAGAATTGTACTGGCGTACAAGAGACAAAACTGATGATAACAACAAAATAGTATATTCCAATGCTAATCAACACACTTTATTGCTCACTAATAGTAAGAAACAATATTTCAAGAATAAAATTGACAATGCAAAGAACATCAGCAAAGAGTCATGGACTATTATTAGAAATCTAACATGTGATGATTATGTAAATAGTTGTAATATATGTTTGAAAATCAATGACGAGCTCATCACCCGTCCGGGTAATGTGGCAAACATTTTTAATGACTATTTTGTTTCTGAAATCATCAAACTGACTGGGCCGGTTAGTGAAACAAATATAGATTTTAATGATAATTTATTGGAGAACGATTTCCATTTGTGGCCTACAAGTGAGAAAGAAATAGCTGACATCATCATTAAAGTAAGCAATAAACATAGTGCTGGAATAGATGAAATACCCTGTAGTTTGTTGAAATGCTGCAAGGACATCATTGCTAAACCCCTTGCCATGATAATTAACAAATCGTTTGAACAAGGTGTCTTTCCAGAAAAAATTAAAACCTCAAAGGTTGTGCCTATCCACAAAGGTAACAAAAAAAATCTTGTTAAAAACTTTAGGCCGGTAGCCGTACAGAGTGTATTCTCTAAAATATTTGAAATTGTATTTCTAAGAAGATTAATTCCCTTTTTGGATGAGAAAAACCTGCTTAATGATCATCAATTTGGTTTTAGAAAGAAGAAATGTACTACTGATGCGATATTTGACTTAATCATTGATTTGTATGATAATCTTGACGAAATAGGAGATCAGCTATGCATCTTCTATGACATGACTAAGGCGTTTGACCTTCTTTCACATGAGATACTGTTAAATAAATTAATCAAAATTGGTATCAAAGGCAAGCCATTACAATGGATCTCTACATATCTCAAAGACAGGAAACAAGTAGTCAATGTTAGACATTCAAGTCAAGACGGGCTATGTCGCCACTACCGTTCAACTCTATCACCTAATATTAATACCGGGGTTCCTCAAGGATCGAACTTAGGCCCTGTCCTATTCCTCCTCTACGTCAACGACCTGCCTGATTCAATAACGACAGGAAAAACCTGGTTGTTTGCCGATGATGTTTGCCATCTTGTAAGAGGTAGTGATGCTCGATCCTTAAGAATCAACGCCCAAGAAGGGCTTAACGAAATGAGTAGTTGGTGTAACGACAATAAACTGTTACTGAATAGAAGTAAAACAAAGGCTCTTCAGATACACAATAGAAAAAAACCAGATTGTTGCCCTTTACTGCGCTCAGGAGGATCAACCATTAACATTGATAATTCCGTAAAATATCTTGGCCTAACCATCAGTGATGACCTGAGATGGCACAAACATATCGACAACATATCTGTGAGACTCACGGCAGTTTGCTATATGGTTCGGAGGCTCCAACCACTCCTGGAAAAAGAAGTACTAATGAAGATATACCATGGCTGTTTTCACAGCATCATGAAATATGGGATCCTACTATGGGGAAACAGCCCAGCTGCCCAACGAGTACTTCTCCTACAAAAAAGAATAATGAGATCTATTTTCTTGGAACCATTTCTCGCACACTGTAAGCCACTGTTTGAAGAAGCCAAGGTCCTTACCATGACAGCACTTTTTATCCTGGAGTCAGCACTGAGTGTAAAGAAGAACCCACAACTGTTCCTAATAAATGCAGCATTCCACAACTACAACACAAGGCAATGTAAAAATGTCCACCTAACCCAAGTAAACTCCACTTTAGTAGCAAATGGCCCTAAATTTATGTGCTCCAAAATCTATAACAAGATCCCAACTGAAATAAAAAATATTGAAGAAATAGAAAAATTCAAGATGTTACTCAAGAATTATTTATTGAAGAGGCCATACTACTCACTGACAGAGTACTTTGAAGATAAATGAAAAGGCCAATATTTTTTTGACGACCACGGCGCAGTGACGCTTCCAGTGGGAAATCTTCAAGTATCAAGTAAGTAAGTAAGTAAGCACAGCACAGTGTGAAAAATGTCTAGGCCTACTTGAAAGACATTTAGCTTAGGCCTTAGTTAACAAGTTAACTTACTTACTTAAATCGTGTGAAAACTAAATCTGATAGGATACCAATAATCTTATATTGTAGGTTTCCGCGGGACTGTACCTATTCCCAGGTATTTGTAAAAAAAAAAAATTAGCCTACTTGTAGGCCTAAAGCATGTGAGTTAATAACTTATGTAGGCTACATTTTAAGAGTCAACAATCTTTGGTATCTAGTCGGTGTTCTTAAGTTCTTTAATGTTTAGTCTTAAGGGTGCGCTCTACCTCAGCTCGGATTTCTCAATAAGAAGTTGCCGAACGCCGATGCCCCTATACCATTGCATTGAACAGCGCCTTGAAGAGCGCTTGCAAGCCTTTCGAGTCTGCGTGATTACATAGATATCCTTCAACTTTTTAGTAAACTAACGGCAGGTTCTTGTTTTTAAGAATCTATTTCACTTTTCCCGTTTGTATTTTTCTAAAAATTATTTGTAGGCTATGCGTTAAAACTTATGATAAAAAACACGTATTTTAACATTTTTACCAACCTTTGAGCCAAGCATTTTTTAAATTATCAAAATGTTAAAAAACGGCAAAACTACAATAATACTTAACGAAAAATATGACACCAAGATCTTTTAAATCGGTTCACAATTGGGGCTACAATCATTAAGAACTAGATACCCTTTGCGCGCGCGCCAGTCGGGTAGAGCGCACCCTTAAGAGTATTACAAATCACCTGAAGCAGGTCCTTTATTCAAAATTTAAATGGAATTGGTACAGAGAAATTTAAAGTAGGCTAAAATACAATGTTCAAAACTCAAATGCCTACTTACTTGAGTTCCGCTGATGAAAACAACACAACCGGCTCCTGCTGCTGTCATACCCCATGTAAATAATGTACCCAGAAGAGTCTGGAAAATTGGACTATCGCTTTCAATCATAATTCGGTCGAGAATTAAAAACCTTGTCAATAAATAAAAAGTAATCCTTGGTTTACCAAATTAAAGATCAAATACAAAAATTAATTCAGCGGTTACCAGTCATTGCAAAAATTATCAATTTGCCACCACACACAACACAAAACACACTGCACTCCGCAGCTGCAGCAGAAAACAAAACAAACACAACAGAAGAATACAGCTTAGCTTGACATTTGACATTGACAAGACAACTCGAATCTGAATCCTGGATAGGATAGAATGAAATGAATACTGTAGAGAATGAATGCTCAATGCCGCAACACAACTCAGCTGAACACAGAAACGGAGTCGGAGCGAGAACTTCTTCCCCATAAGAACAATGTTAAACATTACATCATTTGTGGACACGTAACGGCGTTATTTGTTAAGATATAGCTTTGAAATTTATATTTTTATATAATTTGTATTTTTAACATAATAGACTCGTGACTGAGGTTTTTGAATTTCGAAAATCCATTTTCATTTCCTTTCAATAATTAGCTTAATTTTAAGCTAATTAATAATCAATTATTCATTATAAAAATTAAAATTTGTGAAATAAAAAACGTCAATCTCTAGAGGACCGCAATTCCTTAAATTTAACTCCTTATCCATAATTATATGACAATTTGCTGATGAGATATTTGGACCCAAAGTTAACATTGTTCTTATGGGGAAGAAATCCAACATGGCTTCCACTACGGAAGACTCTTAACTCCAGGCCGCGGCCTTCGAAGTGGCAACGTCGCAAGTAGTGTTGTAACAGCTGTTTTGTTTGGAAGCAGCTAATAGTATTTGTGTAGTATTTACGAAAGATTGGTTACTGGACTATGACAATATTGATTCCTCTTAAAATGTACAGATATAGATTTTTAATTATTATTGTTTCGATTTTCAATTCTGTATGTTTTATTTTCAATATTTTAATAAATTTATGTTCACAAATTTAAATTGAAATCTATTAAGTACGAATTAACGAGCTTGTGTCACCTGTCTGTCATGTTATCTTATGGGACGTCTGTCACTGTCACTAAACAACACCACTTGTGACGTTGCCAATTCTACCAGGGCACGGCCTGTAGTTAAAGGTTGCCGTGAATTATCACAGCTAAAACATGTTTTATCTATGGCTCCTTTCCTTCTACCATGGGCTCCACTAGTATTCTTCCAAATACTATTTACTATGTGGTGGTCTAGCGTAAGGGAAAAATTAATTGCAAAAGACTCAGGGGAAGTCTTTAATTACGTGGCACCGGCTCAGAGGACTACTATCCAGCTGATGGTACTCCTCAGCCTGTGAACCTATAAGAACAATAGTTTCATGTCTTGTAAAGGATACAACATTGCATTTAGGAACATTGAGATACATTAAATTCTCCTTGTACCAAGACTCGATGCTAGAGTAAGGGTCCTCTGCAGAGATTCACCATGACTCAAATTACTAATAGTTATAAATAATTTTACATCATTGGCAAATTAAAGGTATTCAGACTAGATTACTTCCCGTGTATAAGAAATGTTATATAGGCAAGGCCATTTAACAGTTCATCATTTTCGCCTATTTGGTGTGTCGGCCATCTGGGAGCCCATGGTGGGTAAATGTTAGAACCATGTTTTTTGTCGTGGTCTTTGATCTTGGTTGCGCTGCGCCTGGACTGCGGCTGTTGGTTTTGGTTGGCTGCGGGCCTGCGGCTGCGGCTACGTTCCGGCTGTCTTGGATTGGATATTTTGATATTATATTGTTTGTATTGTAGGTTTGTCTGCTAAGTACTGTTAGATGAATTTACCTTACAAATTCCGAAATAAAAATACAGTATCAAAATTTCGATCAGTTCATTGATTTGAATGATTTATATTGTGGTTAAGTTTGAGTTCAGAGCATCAATTGTAAATTATATTTCCTCAAGAGAAAATTTAACTGCAGAGCCTAACTTAGGCACCTTGGACTAACTTATTGAACACGGTGTTTGTGTTAGCCTAAGTTTAAAGTTTATTTTTACTTTTTAGTTAGCATTAGCCTATTTAAAGTGGAAAAAGCTTCTTCACTCACTGTATTATATTGACAATGTTTGAAGATAATGCTTATGAACCTATTGCAGAAATTTATTTAACGCTGAGTAGCCAACCAAGCTATGATGACATTTACTGTTTGTGCAGTCGAGTTTTCGTGGAGGGTGTGAAGTAAGTAGCCTAGGCTAATTTAGTATAACGTGATTTAGTCTCAGTAGGTACAGGTCAAGTTCAGGGCCTCAATAGTAGCTCAAGAAGGTAAGCCCATTGCCCAGGGGCGCCAGTTGTTTTAGGTTTTTTGGGTACCTAAGGGAGAGAAGAATTCCCTCACAAGTACGGTAGTGATGGGAACTATCCGATAGAAACAGTCAGTTTATCTGGTTGTTCCACGCCAACTGGTTCAACCGATGTGTGCTTTAATTTTCATCTGGATGAACAATCCATTCTATTAAATATGTGAGCAGCTGAATTATCTCTATCCATCTATATGCAAAACCAACCTTTCCTCGTTTTCATTCAATTGTTAAACTAACTTATCCGTTCTCCATTTTCATTTCTTTGAACTACAAATTAGTTACCGTATTGGACTAACATAAAACTGCCCTTTATTGAATGGTGAAATTAATATACAGTAGGAACCCCTCATAAACTTAGGTAATTACCTATCCGATCATGACGGGATCGGGCCATGGTCGGAACGGCTAAAAGGTTGGATGGTACTTTTGTATTATACGGAGGCCACCCTTAAGTTACCGGTATAGGCTACAGCATGCTACGGCGGTCAAGTTAGGTTAGGTTGGGTTAAGTATCTTAAATCTTTTATGACTAATCTGGTATCATCCAATTCATAATGAAACAAGGAAAGTCCTACAAACATATTTATGATAACCCAACCTAACTGCCGCAGCGCGCTGTAAAATAAGTGGCCTGAGCTGCATAATAAAAAAGTACAGGTTGGATATTGGGAGGAGGAGCTTAGCATGCAATCTCGGTGACGCCGGTAATCATCTCCGGCAACTGCGGCCACCCGTGTGTAAGTTTCAGTCCTTGCGGCTTCGGGACCTGGGGTTATCGTCTCCTGCGACCGTGGCAACACTCGTGAACATAACTTACAATATACGCGACTTCGGTAATCATCTCCCGCAACACCCGCGATTGGCCTTTTGGCCGATAATAGCCTAAATTCCGAGCTGATAATAATCCAGAGGAGTCGATTATTCCGAGTTTGGACATGAGGGGCTCTACTACATAGGCCTATCCGTGTACCCTAATAAGTTAGTATTTGGCCTTATTTAATTACATACACAAATGTTTTGGGTAATAAATAGGTTAAACTTATTTAACTTATCCATGTTGGTTGGCTGATTGGTTTTGTAAAGTGCTCGTCTGACAATCAAAAGGTCGCTGGTTCGATCCTGAGAAAAGTCAGTAGTTTTTTAATGTTTCGTAACTGGACCCAGCTTTCCCTGATCATTAGGCTTAAAATAAATGATCCTGACTAATGAAACAGCTGATCTTAGTCAGTAACAAAGCTACACAGATCGTCTCACAACATTCTACAGTCATCCTTCACTGATATTTAGGGGTTTCCGTGTAGCCTACATGTTTTGTCTATTCTAAATGGCACTAAGGTAGGCTAAAGGTATCTCGTTAGTCTTAGAAATAAAGGCGGTGGACAGTATGAATTTAGCAAGTAAAATCGCTGGACCTTGACTCAAACAGCCCTTTATCATAATTTCCAATTAGGCTAATGATATTTTTTATGCAGTCTTTCGGCATTCATTCGAGTTTCATTGGTTATGCCTTTTCATTTCTTGTATTTAGGATTACGAAGCTGTCAAGTTTAAGACCCACATGGTGTCAATCCAGACCCTTCCTTAAAGGATTTTAGGAAATTCATCAAGTGGACTCAGAATAGCGCATTTTTGCAGATGTCACTGTTATTACTGTTTAAAGTTCCGTATGTGGCCCGCGAGCTGTAGGTTAGAGACCCCTGCTGTGGAGTAACAAACGATAAATTACAATTTAGAGAAGATCTCAATATAGTGAAAATTAATCTCATGCAATGTTTGCATGAAACTAATTTAAAGAAAGTACTGTGCGGTAGTGACTCAATTGATATATACTGGAATAATAACAAGGTAGGTATCTACTAACAATCTAATCTTATGGTTTAACACATAAGCTGATGATTAACACATTCACTGTGCATGACGAGTAATCTCGTCACCGCTAGCGCTCTCCAGTGGCGTGCGAAGAGTATATTTGCCAAAGCGCAGTTTACAAACTATTGTTCCAATGCGAGAATAGCCACTGCTGTGAGAAGTTGTTTCGCTTGCCGCTTATTGTGCCAGTGTTATACTTCAATCCCTGTTATAATTAGTTTTTTGATCCGACTATTTTGTTGGCGGTAGGGACGGTTACAAATTTATTGTAGTGTGGGGTTTAGGCTTGGATCTAATGACATGCAATAGAATAACGTTAATGAATGTACTGTAGCATTGTGGAAGTAACCTAACCCTAAAATTGTGATTGACCACTTTTTTGCAGCATTTTTTGATGCTGTATCCGGGTAATTCACACCTGCTTTCTCCCTCCATTTGACAATACTTAGGGTTGGGTAGCAGTATTGTTTAATGCTGCTATCTGTTGGGTTCTTGTAAAACTACGTCCACAAAAACTGGGATGCACTTATGGCTCTCATTTGGATGAAACTAAATTTAAACGTTTTCGCGCACTCGCCCACGCAGCGCATTAGATATTTGTGACACTGCTGGCCATTGCGCAGCCACATTGAACGTCTTAATTAAATTAATAGTAACACATATGTATACACTACAACCTCGTTAAGTCAAACCAGTCCAGATCAATCAGACCTAACGAATTAATTTTCTTTATCATGGGAAAACCCCTTTAAAATATCTCTAGATTGCAATAAAACAAAATCAATGACTCACCACAAGGGCATGCAGCAGTATATTTAGTAATCTGATGTTCCGCTACCGCAAACCAACTCGGTTGTGTGAAATTGTTAAACACGATCACTGATCTATTACAACCTCTTACAAACCAATAGTGCTATTCAGTCCTAGTCCGGTTATTCAGAGGTTT